AGAGATTTGCCTGCACCAGCATTAAGACGACACCAAGTACCCAGTTATTTTCTGGAGGCAGAAATCACCGAAAGAGCTTTTGAAACTAAACTACTATTTTTTTAATTTAAAGAACAAGAGTTGCTCTAAATAAGACAGAAGCTTCTTGTCTCACCGGGACTGAGTACAAACCCACAAGCGTGCAGATACAGGGGGCAGAGAGAAGACGACAAAGGCTCTTGATGTTTGTTAGATATACACAGCAGAGTTTCTCTTCTGTAACGCAACACTTGCCTTGTGTTGCTCTGTGCAACTCGCTGCCACCAGATACAGAGGCCAAAAGATTTAACAAACACGCGTAACCATTTTATTAGCAAGAACATCTCCAGCTCTCCAAGGCATGCTAACGAATGAGACGCCACCACTCTTCAGGATAAGCTAAACTCTAATTGCTTGTTGGTTTGAAGAAATGCCTTTGAGTCACGGGTGAAGCATACCTGTCCAAGACGGGGGCTCCAACACATTCCCACGGGGTGCCATCAGTCTTGCTCCAGACTGACGCCAAAGGCTGCCCACTTAATCACCCCAGCTATAAAGAAGCACCCAATTGTTCTAGCTGGAGAAGCAAAGGCACCTGAAGGCAAGGCTGACCATGCATCCCTTGCACTGCCGCTGGCTACACAATCTGGTTCGTCTCTCCCACCCCAACGAGCCTACTATGCTCAAGGCAGACCTCTGACTTTTTCTTGAACTCTTTAATCAAATTTCTGATGCCGGCTAATTTTGCAGGTCAGCTGCTGGTCAGAGCACAACATTAGTCTGGCACAGTACGGCACGATTAAGGCCACTAACAAAATGCAAGCATGCATTTTATTATAAAGCATTCCTGCGCAGAGTTCTTGTGCTCGAGGTCCTGAGGCGGCAGTAATTTCAGTTACATCACCAGGTGTAATTATGTCTTTATATGGTCCCAAAACCTGTTGTGCTCCGTGCCTCACCAAGCCGATATCAACTATAACCCGTTATAAGCTCAGAGCAAGTCACAGCAGAGTTATAAACCATTAAAAGTGCATGTGAGGGGAGTTATAATGGAAATGCTAACAGACTTAAGAGCATGAATGGCACCACTATAATTCAGCGCTGCCAGGAAAAGAAAACATTCAACAAAAGGGCATCATTGTGGCTACTGAACAGAAGCAAACATTGTAATTAAATAGGGGTGGCTCTTTTGGCTGCCGAACATATTTTATTTACATAGGAGGGATGTAAAACTGTCAGATTAAAAAATGGGCATTATGTTACGCACCAAGAGATTATGCCAATGATGGGTATTGGTGAGTGCTGTGAAGACAGCTGGTTGTCATCAGCTAAAGGAATGGGTACTGGAAGGATTCCAGCGGAGGGCAGCAAAAGGGAATGGGACGAAAGCTTCTGAAAAGAGAAGGATGCTACGTAAGAGACCAGCACTTCAAATCCCTGTCATTTTTCTGAAGCTTAATCAGTGTTACCCACCCTGGTGTGCAATAAGTGGCTCAGTTTCAAGCTAGCACTGAGACAACCCAGTCAAGAATGGGGTACCATTATAATCGATGCTGCAAAAACCAGAGGGATAGCCCTGGTCCCAAGCTGACACAATCCGAGTGTGGGAGGCCAAGCTGCAGGTGGACATGAACAAAAACACAAGGGCTAAGAAAGACCGTTCAGAATATATTGTTTCTTAAGCCAGAGGATGGAGGTCAGCTTTTTTCTAGGAAGCCTGGAGTGGACACAGATACCAGCAGAGCATAGAAAACTAAGCAAGAGAAGGGAAAGGGAAAGGAATACTGTCTGGAAGTCCTGGGGCAGAATGGCTCAATAGTGGGAGGATAAAAAAACCCCAAAAAACTCAGTCCAAATGATACTACTGCCACCATCATTGCTATTAAGTCAACTGCACTATTATCAATAAGAGTATGCACCTGGAAACACCTACATGATTGAATTCCTTACATATCACCTACTACTACCAGTAACTCCAGCCAGAAAGCAGCAGAAAGGTTGCTCTAAAATCCTGCTGGGAAAACAGCATTTCTTGTCTAATAAACATGGATCAGCAGCTTGGCAGGTTTGGGGTATGAAGTTAACTGCTCAGCAGTATTAAAGACGTGAACCGGGTTTCCAGAGTAACCTGGCATGTTTCTATTAACGGCAGTAATAAGGAGCCAAGGCACAAGAAGCAGAATTCACATTGCACAGGCAGCCGCGGATCTGTCATTTCCCAAACCCCAACAGTGCAAATTTGCAATCAAAAGTACAGGGTTTTGCATATAATCCATGGACAATGCAACCAGGGACAATACAGAGCTGCAGCTGCCACACAGTCCAAGACATATACTGTATGAAAACCTCTTGTGGGCAGGCATGAAGATTCATTCTGTGTTTCATAAAGCCACAGCACTACCTAAACATTTCCATATAATCTAGAGGGAGGCATCGCATTGTACTGTAGTATATACAAAAGTAATAACCCACAAAAATAGGCGCTTTAAATTTCAGTTCAGCAGAACTTCTCAGAATAGCAAATCTGGGTTTACCAGAAGAAGGAACATGAATGGATACAAGCAGGAAGAACAAGACGTGCAACATGGATAGTAGATATCTGATCCAGCATTAAAAAAATGCAGCTATATATGACAATGCACAGGGATGGTAGAATGACCTGAGGGACATTTAAAACAATTCAAAACCTTACTTTTGAGACCTGTATCACCCTCAGGAACACCTGAAAATAGCTTTTTTTTTTTTTTTTTTTTTTAAACCCAAAAGTTACAGTTGAGCAAAACCACTCTATATAGCTAGGTTGGCAATACTTAAGACACTTCTGCAGCATCTTTTTTTCAAAGATTTGACAGTACAAAATTAAATGCTACAGGAAGCAAAGCAGAGTACAGGAGCTAGGTTCATGGCTTAATGGTCAGACCGTCAACTCCTACACTAATGGGCAAACAAGAGCACTCGCTGTACGCCACTTCCAAACTCAGACCCTTCATCTCACTGATAAATGTTTTTAACATGCATTTATCGGTTTGCATGGTTTGGACCCGATTGCTCGACACCCTGCCATCCATCCTAAGCTGATTTTGCACAAAATCATTTCTTTGCACTATGGAAAGACTTACTTTTTGTAGGAATTCGTTAAAGGGTTATTTCATTTGTAGTTGGAGGATGTAGATGGAAAGAGCAAGACAAACACCTGGACAAGTGCCAGCCCAGGGAGCCTGCCTCTTTGTCCCTAGACTGTTCCACTCTTTATTGAAAGCTACATTTTCTCACTCAGCCGGATGTTGTGCAGTCACCATTAGATTGCCTACAGCCATGCCAAAGGCCAGATCCACCCCTCAGGCCTTCCTTGCCAATCCTGTACCCGACAGCCTGTGCATTCAAACTGGGGTGAGGAAAGTGTCAACAAACACTTCCAAAATAATCTCAGTTGTTCACAGCTTCTCAAAAAGGGAACTGCAAATCTCCCAAGCATTGCTCGGTGTAGTCAAGAATGCAGGCAAACATGATTAATTAAAAACCCTGTTACTGTATATAGTACCATCTTGACAATGCAACCTGCACATCAGTCTTCACATGAAAGATTCGCCATTGCACTGGGAGCCCTCTGATGCGCTGCGCAGTTTACAGCAAGATTAAACTTGTGCAACATCTTCAAGAAGGTTTCTTTTTTGCTGTAATCCCATAGCTTTAAAAATTGGCCTTTTCTATATCGTACTTTGCAAAGGGAAAGAAAGCAATTTGAGCAGATCACAGTAAGTGGGTTTGTTCAGTTTTTAAAGATGCTGCCTAGAGCATTTTCTCTCCTTTTGTACCATCATGCACCAAAGAACAATATTCAAAGGGCACAAGTTCATGCACAGCACACCACTTTACCAAAATAGAACTGCTTGGGGTTACGAAACACTCATTAAAAAAAAAAAAAGTTACAAAACCTCTCCAAACCCCAACCAGAACAGTAAAGCTGACTTCGGCTCCACATCCGGTATGTTAGTGACTGCATCATGCAAGCTGACAAGGTGGCAGTCTATGGACGGAGAAACGGGGAATTTTCAAGCCTAAGGACAAGGCAAAAATCAGAAGGACAAGGCAAGGGTGAGCTTTGCCAGGTTACCTCATTAGATTGGAATCGGCCAATAAGATGAGACAGACACCTCATTTCTAAGGAGGTCTGTAGTTGTCAGAAGCCCCCGGGGGTTGTTTTGCTTTCTCTTTTTAAATACATCTGCCTGTACACACAGCAAGTAACGGAAGTCTGGACGTTAGCCCCATGTCAACCCTAGACCTACAGGGCCAGAACCGTGACAAGTTCTACTAACCCGCCCCAAAGTGCTCCGAGACCTAAGAAGTTTTAAAATCGCATCACTGTGATTACTGCTTTACCAAAGTTGGCAGAGTCAGGTTAGTGTCTAAAGTGGCCAGCAAAAACCACAACGAAATACAGATTTCTCCAGCTACCAAAGATTGGTAGGAATGTTTCCCGCTGTCGAAATAGGCAGTGCCCTGCTCTCCACTGGTGTAAAACACGTGGTACGCCAGGTGGTTCACCTGAAAACATTTTCCCCTCGACCAAACAGTCTGTGTCAGGTCCAGGACAGGACACCCAGGATCCTGCAGCTTGGCCAGGTGTCATTTACAGCCCCCAGACGGAGAAATGTAAATGGCACTGGGACAGTCAGAGTAGTTTAATTTGTAGAGTTACAACACACACGGGTAAGGTTAACTTGGAAGGCTGCACAAAGAAACGGAGCACTGGAATTTAAACCAATACTGTCGATTCTTCGAACTCTGGGAATTAGCACCGTGAGACAGGCAAGCAGAACTAACAGCCTTTTAAGATCAGCCAAAAACAGTCATGCCATGTTTATTTGTGCCACGAAGGATTAACAGTTATGTACTCATGCCAATGCACTGACAAGTAGCAAGGTCTTGCACGCAAGCTGTCTGCGTTACTGCTGCTAGCTCAAATCACAAGCACACACCTCTTTCGTGCCGTTGCCAGTTCATACCATTGGTTTTCAGCTGCCTTTGCTTCTCTCGGTCTTGCACAGCAGGCCTGGGTGGTGGAGCTGGAAGTCCTCTCGATTTTGTGGGTCTCATGTAGCCTTTAATCTGTTCTGTAGCTTTGACTTTCTCTTCTTTCTTTTTCTCTTTCACCACTTTTTGTCCAGATCCAGCTACTTTTTTCTGCATCAAGTCTGCATGCTTATCCTTTTCAGGTTTCAAGGCTTGGACGTCCTTCAGGCCAACTTCCGACTCAGCCGCACCAACCTCCTGGGGGGTTTCACAATGGCCCTTCACTGCATCAACAGGACTGATGTCTTCTGGCGGGGCACCTCTCCCAGCTGCGTGGGCAGCGTCGGCTACCTCTGCCTCGTTTCCTGACCCACGAGAGCTCTCGGGGAAGCTTGGCTCACTCAGCCCAGTTCCTTCAGCTTTGTTCTCTACCAAGGCTGCAGCTAAAACATGGAGCGCAACCGCTTCCGCTTTGTTTTCCCACAGCATCGGCCGCTCGGGAGCCACAGACCCAACACCCTTCTCAACAACAAAGCCAGTTCCTCCCGCTTTGTCCGTCACTTTGGCACCTGGAAGAACCATTTCATTTTTTGGGTCTGCCTCCTGCACTACATGATCCAAGGAAGTGCACTCGCTCTGCCTTTTGTCCGCAATACTTATTTCTTTGTCATCCTTCTCTGCCAACGTGGGCATGTGCACATGGTCCCTTCCTACCTCAGCGTCCTGTTTAACTCTACAATCCAGGGAAAGTGGTTTTCCTGTCACCTTATCCTCAGCGGCGGTTTCTTGGGCTTTGTCACCCTCCGTGCCTGAACTGGAAGCCTCTGTTCCAGCCCCTTTGCTTTCCAGTTTGACAGGATGCTCATATGGTTTCTGCTTATATTTCCCCTTTTTATCCCTGGTCCTGGACTCTCTGCCAGTGTCCTCCAAGGCTGCTTCAGGGAGAGGGAGCACCTTGCTTCTTCCGTCCTTTGCTGGATGCTCTGGAAAGGTACTTTCAAGCCCTTGATTTTGATCAGAACAAACTTTGCTGGTTTGGCCAAAGCCAGCTGCTCCAGCCTGCGTGAATGGTGCGAACAAGTCCACTTTATCATCCCAAGGCATCTGATGCCCAGGTGGAAAGTTTCTGATATTTCTGTTTTCATCTACAAACCCCATTTCCTCCATTGTATACTCCAGCTCTGCGACAAGGGGAGGCTGCACTTGTCTCTTGTCTGGCTTAGTCTCCACAACTGGCTGGTCCGAGGCATTTTTAACCCTTTTGTTTTTTCCCTCACTCCCCCTCTTTTTAGGTTTATCAGTCACCAGTCCTGGACTGGGATCTGCCATGGCTGGATACTCGAAAAGAGTAAATCCCACCCCCTTGATCTTTTCTGGGCAAGGGACTCCTGTCATTTTGTCACCTGTCTCTGCACTGCTGCCAGAAAGCCCGGCTGCACATGCCCTAGGCTGCAGAAAGAATGGCTGCTCTAAACCAACCTCAGCTTTTGCACTTTTCCCCTTATCAGCTAATTCGTTTTTTTCCACTTCCAGCAGCATAATGGGAGCTTGAACTTTAGCCGTATCAGTTAAATCCTCCAGCAGACTCTCTAAAGCAGCAAAATCAACCTCCTTGACCTTACCAGTAGCATCTACCTTCTCTGCCATCCTGGGACTTTTGCCTTGGTCCATCTTTGCCTCCAGAGCAGCATGAGGCTCAGGCCTGCTCTCAGCTTTTTTGCTTTTTACACCGACAGCCTTTTTCTTAGGTTTTTCAGTCATCACTTCTGGAATGGGAGCATGCGCCTTAGCTATATCTGTCCTATCCTCCACGAGGGGCTCTAACACAGCAAAATCAGGCTCCTTGCCCTTCTCTATGGGAAGAGTTTCTTTACTTTGGATGACTATCTCTGGCTTTGCTGGGTCCATTTTAGGATCTGAGGGACCCAAGTTCTCACATAAGCTTTTGCCATCACTACCCTGAATTTTAGGTTTCTCCTGCACCGGTTCAGCAATAGGAACGTGCACCTTGGCTGTATCTGTCAAACTCTCCAGCAGACGCTCTGCTGTACTCGAGTCAGACTCTTTGCCTCTATCAGCAAAGGCTGTGTCTTTAGGTTTTTCAGCTGTCTGCACTACAGCAGGAAGGTTACGTGCCTCTACTTTAGTTTCCAGAGAAAGAGCCTGCTCAAAAGCACTTCTGTCACTTTTTTTCCGTCTCCCATCACTCCCCCTCTTCCTAGGTTTGTCCATCACAGGCGTCGCACTGGAACCTGTCACAGGCGGTTGCTCTAATACACTAAATTCAGAATCCTTGTTCTTCTCTGTCACACTTCCTCCCTTGGTTTTACCAACTCTCTCGGAACTAGCAGGAAATCTGGCTGTATCTGTCTTAGCCTCCAAAACAAAGGTTTGCTCTGACAAGCTCAAGTCACCTTTTCCAGCAATATCCTCTTGCCATTTTTCAGCTACCAGTGTAGTGGGACCTTGCACTTGAGTTGCATCTGTGCCGCCTTCCAGCAGACGTTCTACAGTAGTTAAACCACTTCCCTTGCTTTTATTATCAAAACTTATTTCTTTAGTTTTGTCATCTGTCTCTACGACAGCAGACAGACCACTGGGGTCTGCCTTTGCCTCCAGAAAGATCGGCTGTTGGAAATAAGTCTTTTCAACCTTTTTGCTTTTTCCATCACCGGTCTTTTTCTTTGGCTTGTCTGCTGCTTTTGGAGCACTAGGATATGTTATCTTCTCTAATAAATGCTCTGCAGTTTCCTTCCCTCTCTCAATAAAGCTCGAGTCTTTAGTTTTGTCATCTGTCTCCACTACAGCAGTAACTTGGCTGGTATCTGTAGCCTCCAAAAGACCTGGTAGCTCAGAGGAACTTTTGATCTTCTTGCTTCTCCCTTCACCACCCTTTTTTTTGGGTTTGTCCATCACCACGGCTATGCTGGGGTCTGTCACAGTCTGTGGTTCCAATGCAGTGAACCCAGTCTCCTTGCTTTCAGTGACATGTGCCCCTGTAGCTTTGTCACCTGGTTGAGGAGGAGCAGGAGCAGGGAGTTCGACTGCATCAGTCTTGGTCTCCCAAAGGCATGGCTGTTCTGAAAAACTGACGTCAGCCTTCCAGCTTTCCGCAGCAGTATCCTCCTTGGGTTTCTCTTCTACCAGTGGTAGGAAGGGTCCTTTGGTTATGTCTGTGGTAGCCTTCAATAACTCCTCTGAAGTGCTAACGCCAACCTGCGTGCTTTTAGCAGAGGAATCTGTTCCTTCAATTTTGTCACCTGTCTTCAGCACATCAGGGAGTTTAGTCATCTGTGCCTTGGTGTCTAAAATAGTGGCCTGCTTGGAGAACCCACTTTCAGCTTTTTTGTTTTTTCCATCACTACCTTTTTTCTTTGGTTTCTCATCCATCAAAGCCCCACTGGGAGTTTGAATTTCACTTGGAACAGTCACATTTGCTTCTCCAGCCTTGGGAGATGTGTATTTAGCCTCCTGACTTTTATCAGAAGGGAAGATTTCTGCAGGTTTGGCCTCTGAAGGACTTTCCACTTGATTTAGACTGATGCTTTCTGAAAGAGGTGCCTTGAGGTCAGAATACTTCAACTCTTTATACTCCATCTTTTCATTTTTATCAACAGGACTTCTCTCCAATGGCTTGGGCTGTATCGGTGCCGAGCTGGGTTCCCCCATCTTAGTCTGTTCTGTTTTGCACCCTGGCTGCTCCAAGGGTACCCGTTTTCTTCTGCCTTTGGATTGCAGCATCAAGCTATCATCTTTCATTTCCTCCGCTTTGACAACTTCTCCAGTTTTTGCATGCAGTGGGAGTTTAAGTAGTTCTTCCTGCCGCCCTCCTGCTGAACCAGAGACCACATCTGGATTATCTAAGAAGCGGCTTTTGCTTTCTGTCTTTGTATTCCTCGCCATGTCAGAAGCTCCCGTTCCTTGCCACTCCCTTGAGACAGTCAAGTGCTCTTCAGCAGGTAGGGGGAAGAACACCTCTGGCTTTTGCAGTTCAAGAACAACTGGAGGAGCCTTGAGACATTTGGAAGTCTCTACATTTTCTTCCCCCAGCTCCGCTGTTCTTGGTTGCTGGCTCCTCTTTTGCTTTGGTTTCTTCTTCTTCTTCTTTATAATCACTGGAGAACCTTCAGAATCCCAGCTCTCTCTCTGCACGTCTCTCTGGCTGTCCACAAACTCGGATGGCACACTAGATAACTGTCCAGCTGCCTTTTTATGTGGCGTTCTGGTTCGAGATGGCATTCCAGTGACGTATCCACATTCTGCCACAGAAAAAGGGTCAGTGCTCTTCTGGTGAGGGAGACCTACTAGAAGCTCCTCTGGGACATCTGCAAAAGGCACTGTTCTGCCAAACCTGCGTTCACTTGATTTGCTAGCTTGCCTTACTTGTGCAGTAGGTACACCTGCAATACAGGAAGTGTGCTCAAGTACCAGAGCAGCTATTTGGTAAAGTCTGGTTTTAGGCAACTTTTTTTTTTTTTTTTAAATAAAATAAAACACGAACAGGTCCCATCTGTCTTATGTGCAGAACTTTTAAAACACAATAACCCCAAATCCATTTCAATAGTGCTGTTTAAAAGAGCTAGACTTACATAGCACTTATGTTTATTTTCTACTACTAGTAAATCAAACAGATCAACGTAATGAAGATGAAATTTAAATAAGTGGTTTTTGATCCAGTAAGTGGTCAACTCTGCCCCCTCCCTCCCCAAAAGTTTTGTAGTCAGAAATTACCAGTTTAAGAAAGTCATTAAGAATCTGTGTTGTCTTAGCAAGGCAAGACAGCAGAGACACTAGTTAAACCCTTCTAAGTTTGAAAACTTTCCATATTGAGGTAAACTGTAGTTCAGTGAAAAGACAAGACTCAAGAGATTAGAGTTGTATGTAATGGAAAGAAACAAAGGCTAAGCAATTTCCCCACAAGACTCATAAAACAGTAGAAGACAAAACCTCTGGCTAAATGAAAACTGTTTGCGGTAATCAGGTGTAGACAGCACTAGTTTCTTCCATTACAAGACATGGAGTTTAGAGTAGGTCTCCATCATTTCTTACACAGCCCTGGCCCAAAAAACAGCCACCTGTCAAAAAAGTAAGCAAATCTAAGCTCAGTGGAGGGGTTGGGTTAAGAGAGCAGGAAGAAAATTGCTTTCCTTTGATAGCTATGCAACTCAATTTGGAAAAGGGATTTACCATAAATATTATTTTATTGGAAAAAAACAAAAACAAATCAAGGAATGCCGATTTGCCTGTCTTAATAATACTAACGTAAAAACCAAACGGGTAATGGCACAAGGAAAAGAGGATGAGCTTTTAAATCCTGTAGCAGTGGAGACACAGGTCATTCCTCAATGACAGCATAATAGTAGCATCCCAATTTGTACTCCATTGTAAAAACAGGAAGATAAAATCATTTGCAGGAGGGATCAGATGGGCTATAGGTAAATGCACAGAACCATAGAGGAGCTGGCTGTAGAATGACCCATTTGCTTGCCAAGTGGCTAGAAGGTAAAACCAATGCATCCAGCAGAAGGAAGAACAGTACCCAGAGAACATATCCTGTACTAAAATACAAGCTACTGCCAATTTTCTACCTGTAGGCTCCTGGGGAGGTTTATCATGCACTGGCTCCAAATGCTGTACGTGACCATTTTCAGGTTCTTCCTTTGGCTTCTCTACTGGGGCGAAGTCACCTAAAGGAGCCGATTTTTCTGGAAGAGTTTCTTTAGCTTCTGCTATTGTCACTGGTTCTTTTGCTTCTGCTAGAATTGCAACACAAAGGCAACAGGAGACAGTGAGATGGGTGTTTCATATCTGATGAGTATGCATAATCAATCTTGATAATGAATTACAATGGTGGTGTCTTTAGGTAATGTTGCAAAAGTTTCTGACACAGCCCTGCTTTCACATGCTTAGAACATCACAAAACATTCAGGTCGAGGTCAAAATCTTTCTTGCTTGGTCTGCGCTAAAGATAAAGGAATAATGTGTCTGGGTGCATAGGGGGCGATTGACAGGGAGAGAGAAGTATCATTAGCAGAACGCCTTTCAATTTTGTACGATGGTTTAGACTTCTTACCTGCTGGCTCTGGGACACAGGTGACTGGCTCTGGAAGATGTTGGGTGGGTGATGGTATTTTGTCCCCCAGCTTCGCTAGCACAGGAATATGTTCTGCCCCAGGAACAGACACTTCTGGGACTGGAACTTCTTGTTCCTTGATCACAAAAGGTGCTGAAGATTCTGTTTAAAAAGAGCAAGCAGAAGTCAGTGCATTTTTCCATTTGTGATCAGTTCAGATCCCACTTTGCCGCTCCAGACAGCATCCTCCTCTTCCCCTAGCTTTCCTTCCGAACTCCCTGAAAGTGTGGTTGATTCCTACTGCCTTAAATTCCTGTCATCCAGTTTCCTCTATGCCCAAGCATCTCCTCCTGTGGAACTGCTCTTCTCAAATGCCTGGAAATATATGAAGCAAATGGCTTCCTTCCAATTCCATCTAAGGGAGTTTCCTGAGCTCATTCTACAGTCCTTAATATAACTGGTTATTCACTCCTGCTTCTTTTTAGGTCGGGGTTTTGCAACTCCCCCCACTCATTGCCCAGGTAGCTCCTTCGGCAGATCCTCCTGCTTTCTAGGATCTCTTCTCAGTCCTCTCTTTTCTCTCTTCCCTCTCCATATGACTGACCCCATTTACTCTCATGGCTTCAGATATCATTTTTACCCATATAGTCCAGTCTCACTTCTGCCAGCACCCCTCAAGACTTCATTCTGGCTGCCCCGAGACCATCCTCAACCTCCCACCAGTGTCAGCATTTCACTCCTTTGCTCTCTCTCCCTAGACCTGCCAAGGCAAACTCAGGTTTCTCTCAACTACAACCAATAAGTGACCCCTTACAAGTTCATTCCCCTCTGAACAAGTTTAACTATAAGGTGCCACCCTACTCTGCTTTCTTGCCACCCTCCTTGCCTCTAAGCCTGACTAGCTCTTAAGATGCCTGTTTAAGTACTTTCCTACCAGCTGGTTCTTTCACTTGCACAGTTTTTTACCCCATCAGTGGTTCTCACTGAAACCTCTCCCCTTACATCCTATTTCTGTCCTAAAACCTATGAATATTCATATGTGGCACAAAGCAACAGCATCATGTCCAACAGATCAGGGAGTCAAACATAAGGTCTTTGGGCTGGATGCATTTGCAGAGAAGTGTCATCTGTCGCACGGAGGCCTGAATTTGGGAACAGGGTGACTCAAGGCAGGGCCCACTGCTGAAATCCAGGGTGCGGAGCCCTGCTGAGGATGTGTGTGGGTGAGCAATGGTTGCATTAACTCCTGCAGCTCTCTGCCACCACTGCTGCTGGTCTAGATCTGGGTCATAAAGAGTCCCACAGCTTAGGTGAACATGACTTCCTTGGCCACCACCAGGCAACCAACATTTCCTATGTTACTGCTACGCTTATTTCCTGAGCCTGGGGGCTCCCTACGGGTCCAGAAATTTGGTGATGGGAAAGCAGTGCCACCACTCCCTGACTGCCAAATTTCCAGACCCACGAGGAACCCCAGGCCTTGCACAATGGATCCCAGAATGGGAGGCCAAGAGTGGGTGGTGCTGGGTCCTGGGACTCTATCCCAGCACATGAGGAGTGGGAAGGCGCAGGGCCAGGCCTCCAGGATCCAATCCCAGCATGCACGCGTCGAAGGGAATGATGCTGGACTCCAGGCCCTACCTGCCCCTTGCCACTCATCTGGCCTGAGAGGCCAAAAGTTTTGCAGACATCCATCTACCTGCTGGAGGCATATGAAGAGCTGGCCCTTGCTGCTCAATGGAATGGTCAAACGTCAGTAGCTCTTCCATGGCAGAAACAGCCCCAGCCTCGGTGGTGGGGACACATGCTGCAGGTGAGGAGCCAGCATCTGCTGCAGGGACAGGCACTGCAGGAGCCACCCAAGGATCTGCTGCGGAAACTGCCCAAGAATCCATGGTGGGAGCAGACGCAGCATTTGCTGCAGGAAGGGACCAAAGATCAGCTGCAGGAGCTGACCCGGCACTCCAAGGATCCATGGCAGGAGCAGTCCCGGCATCCATGGCAGGAGCAGCCCACGAATCTGCTGTAAAAGCCAAGGCTGCAGGAGCAGGAACAGACCCAGAATCTGCTACAGGAACAGAAGCTGCAGGATCTAGCAGAAATGAGAGCAATCAGAATATTTAATGTTGCTGAGGCCGAAGCTGGCAGACAGGGGAGGCAGGAAGAGAGAAAAGACCCCACAAACTATTTTAAAAAAAGAGGGAGGTGTTCCCCTCTCTGCACCACTGAACAGTGGCAATGGCACTGACAAGGCCATGTGCAGGAGGCAGCAGCAACTAAAGAACAAAAAAAAACAAACTTCCTCTTTGCTTCTGCTCCTTCCACGTTCAACACGGGACCTCAAATCAACTGCATAATCCACTGTCCATTGCCATATTTTATATATGCCTAATTTCTAGTCCTTTACAGCTACATAGTACTACATAAAGGCCACTCTGAAGATAAGAAGTAGCAGCGGGGACATCCAGACGTATACCAAGGTGTACCATGCACTGCCCAGGGATGATGATGCTTTTTCTTTATTTAGTATAACATAAAAGCGTCCCTGGGGTGGATGCATATGAATGCACAGTTGGCTATACTCTCCCACCCTTGAAAAAAAAAATAGAGATGCCATAAGATCTATAGTAAATCACAGGTGCCATTTGTTGTGATGCCAGCACATCTAGCTCCAGTGTCCATGGACATAGCAAACTGGTTTGCTTTCCATGTAGAAAGCGGTGCTATCCCTGCTGCCACCACATTCCCATCCAAGTAATGGCCATGCCTGACTATGCTTTTGATAACATTACAGCTTATTCAGAATACGGCTCGTACATTTTTTTTCTTTCCAATTAAAACATCAATTCTGTCTCCATGTTCTCAATTACTTCAAAAGCTGTGAAAAAAATCTTAAAGAATACTGCTCAGTTTACACCCAATTTCAGCTTTTTGAAACTAAGATTGCTCAAGGCAAAGCTAGTTTGAATTTAAACATTTCCCTTTTGCACATGTGCCATTATAGGAGGTAATAGTCTGAGAGCATTAAGATTCAGAATATAAAACAGGTAAAAAAGAAAAACAAGCCTACCTTTACTGTCTGCACAGAATAAAAATTCAATATAAATAGTGTGAGGGGGACAGAAATCATACTCTAAACAATAATGAATATTAACAAGCTCCTTTACACAAAGCTTTTTAAATCTGAGACCCACCTTCAATCAACATTTCAGAATCCACTTGCCCAGACATATGTAATACTCTCTCCTGTTTACAGGCATCTGAAAAGCAGCAACAATGCACTATGTTTCAGTTTACCCCAAAACAGGGCACAAGCTTCTCCAAAATGAGCCAACTGATTGCTATTAAGTAGACAATATGAATGGGAATGGTGTAGTTGTTTGGTATTATGGTGCAAGTAGCACTCCAATAAACCCTGAAGTGAACCATATTGTAAAAGAGCACGAAGAAACTGAACCTACACATACATGTATTAGACAGCTAATCACAAGAATAACTTACATAAAAATAATTTAAGCAGAACATTAATCACAGATAAAGATAAGCAGGGAACTTCTTTTGGAGCTGTAGGTTTGGTGGCAGCAATCAGCATCTGGCGTCATTTAGTGCAAGGGCTGATAACATTCAACAGTAGCAAGCTCCTAACTACAATTCATCCCAAACTATCTGTCTAGGAATTTTCAGTCATGGCTGGCTTTGCTGAAAGCATTAATACCACGTTGCCTTTATCACACTGGGCTCAACCCCTGATCCCCAAGCCCCCAACACTTATTGTTGGGGGCTCAGGCCTTCCCCTGATCTTCAGCAGGCAGAGCCAAACCTTACCTGCTGGTGTGGCTTCCTGGGGTGCAGCAGTAGTTTTGGTCTCTTCCGTGGGCTCCGCTACTAGAAAAGGAGCATCTGCTATTGAACTTTCTGGCAAACATTGCTCTGCTGCATCAGGTATCCTGATGGGCACTGGACATACAGAAGGAATTGTTACTGATTACATGTGAATGAAAATGGACACTACTAGTATATACTGCGATTCTTTCAGCAAACGACTGAAAGAAGGGGAGTCTGTACACGGCCTAGCAAAATAACTGGATCCTGACCGTAGTCACAACTGAAACAAAAATATATTATAATAGTAATGTTAAACCATGGAAGTAACAGAGATGTGGTTCAATTCCGAAAAGTGACTAAAAATACGGCCAGGCTGTTCCGTATTAAATGGCATATCGCTGAAGAAACAGCTAGCTTACTTCATTTTTCTAGGTAGGAGCACATCACCACAAACCTGCATTCTGCGCCAAAACACATTTTCCTGAAAAGGGATGAATTTAGGACTTCGCCAGGGACTGGATGAACCAGGTGTCCCTCAAGGTCTCTTAACCCCACAATGCTGTGATTCACCATAAATCAAATGGATTAGATATACCAGGAAAGAAGGTGTCACATTACCCACCCATTACCTGGGCAGACATACAGGACCCTGATGCACATATCACAGCTTTGGACTCCCCCTGCCTTGAGGCCCAGAGCCCACGCCTGGACATCTTTCATGATGACCTTCCCATTTGGGCAGACTTTCAGCAGGTGGGTTTAAGCTGGTTTGGGACATTGTTTTTTCATTCACCATTTCATTAAACATCTCATCTGCTTTTATGACTTGAACTGTTTTCACTGCAAGATGCCCTGCGCCTTTTTTGGCTAGTATGAGGATGCCAATCAAATTAATCAACCAATCAACATTCCCTCCGTTATTAATGTACTTACTACAATGTCCACTGGTACAGAACTTGGATATGAATCTGATACAATGCAATGCATTTTTTTTATTTTCTCTTGCATACACCCACACCCTGCACACCATTTCATGGATCCTATGGAATATGCAGGACCTAACAGTGAATTAGGTTACTCTGTTGACCCAATTATGGTTAAATACTGGCATCATTATGCCAGAAAGTATCCTTAAATAGGTGCTTCTGGCCAAATAAGGACCGTTTATAACACCACAGACAGAATAAGTACGACTCCTCTTTCCATATGCTATTTCACACGGTCAGAGGAAAACTGGATATATAGGAGTTAAGACTTCAGAACACAGTTTCAGGAAGAATGACTAAGTCATCACTGAAAACATCAGGACAGACATTGCTTGAATAAAAGTTACCCCAGAAGGAGGTTTTCTGTTCAGTAAGGGTATATTTTCAGTTGGGTTGAGGGCCAGCAATCCTGTCCAGAGTGCTGAATCTATACCACCAAAGGCATGTCATCTATGCAAACCAGTGATTTTGGCATGCAGGTGAACTGCAGGTGTCAATAATAGGGTTTGTAAATTGGAGAGAGAAAGACCAAATGAAAAGGCAGCAAAAAGCCAAGAGGAAAAGCACGGTTCTGAACAGAATGGTTGACTCCCTTTTTCCAACAACTGCCCGAGTCTCTGGGAAATCTACTAAATTTGAGATCGCCCCAAAATGCCGACACTTCACTTCATTAAGCAGAACTAGAAGCAAGATGCCTCCACTAGTTCACAGCTCAGTTTGCTTTTCCCACTTCTTTTTTTTGAGCACTGTGCTGCAAGAAACATGCTGCTACCATGGATGTTTTCTATTCCATGACTCAACAGAAAGAAAACACTAGCGTCTCAGTCATGCTATATCACTTCCATAGTTTCCATAGAGCATTCAATCTTCCTTTTGGAGAGGCAAAGACAGACCTGTGTTTCGGTTGAAAAATC